CTACAACTGCCTTACAGAAAACAATTTGCCTTTGAAGTTGCCCCTGTTCTGTCAATAGGACAGAAAGGAGTATTCCCTCTGCCATTTGCCCTATACACTTAGCTGATTTAACGCTGCATCCAAAGACATTGGGCAAATATATCTGAGGTGGTATCTGAGGAGGAGGTATTTTTCTTTGCTATAGTAAAAAATTATTCTGTGGGGAAAATATGCAGAGAAATAACATCCCCAGGCATTTGTTAGCTACCTGAAATACATCTTCAGTCCTGGGTAGAAACAGCTGTTCTCTTTTGTCCTTGCCAAGAGTTATTGGTCCAGCAATCCCTTTGTCTCCATATATCCAGAGGGTGACATTTGCTTGGGTTCCTGAATCTCCCGTCAGTACTGACACTTTCCATTTATCATCTGAAGGGAAAAGAGACCAATGATTTTGGATAGTTCTCATCTCCTCCGCAAAGTACAGAATGTCAATAATGGATCAGGATTATGATGAGTCAGAAGTTCTCTTTCAAAGGTAAAGGTAACAAGTGAAAGAGAAGTTTTAAAAAAGCAGTATGTCCAAATCACAGTGCTTTGGGTAATTGACTTAGCAGGAGCTAAATTTGGGGAAAGGTGGTAAGAGTAAATGTCAGTGCAAACATCAGAAGTGGCTGTGGAGAGGCTGTGGTAGAGAGGGCACCTGCTTTGCACCGAAGGTCCAAGTTCAGTCCTTGGAATCTTCAGGTTGGGCTAGAAAAGAAACCCACCTGAAACCCTGGAGACCTGCTGCCAAGGTCAACAATGTTGGGCTTGGTGGACCTGTAGTATGACTGAATACTCTTGCTGTAAACCACCCAGACAGCTTTGACTATGTGGTGGTACAGAAATTGAATGTCTGCCTGCTTGCCTGCCTGCCTGAATAAATAAGGCATCATTATTTATATTTATTTTATTTATATATCATTCCATATCCAAGCAGGTTCCAGAGCAGTTAAGCAATGGTTAAGCAAAGCTGTGAAATAGATTACAGCACAAACCAATTGCACTTCAAACCAAAAGCCTTCATCAGTGGACTAATATAATGATACAAGACTAAACATAATAAATGTGTAAAGCCAAACAAACAAACAAAAGTAAAAGTAGATGTCAGCAGCTCCAGAATAAAAGCCCAACACTATATTCCAGCCTTGGTAAGTATAACTGATGTAATCCATTTCCATCTCCTCTGCTTTCACATGTATCAAAGTGCAGATTTCTGTTTCTAATTTGTGCACATTTGTTATGTTCAGTCTTTATTGATGTCACATTAGGCCACTCATGAAGGCTTTTTAGCATATATTGTAACATATTTTACAGAGCCAGGTCTATTAAATTATTTATTATTCATTTGTTATAATCTATGTAACATTAGCTTATGTAAGAAAGGATTCTGTACAACATTCCTTTTTCTTCTTAACTCTCTCTTTGACTGAATGGGCGTTTGGTGGAACCACATGATTTCAGATCTCAATGTACCACTGTCCATCTGCTATTTTCTCTTGGCATTTGAAGGATTCTTCTGTCCCTACAATGCACAGTGGTTCTTATACATGTGCATAGCAATTCAAAGCTAACATGCCACAGAAAGCAACTTTCAAAATGTATGATGCCAGCAATGTGTCATGTAGCAGAATGTGCTATGAGTTGTAGGGACTGAAATCACCCCACTTACTCTGAAAACACGTCTGTGTACACTGGAAGTAGATACCTGAAACTAGCCAGAGAAAAATGGTAATATGCAATTAGGCTCAAGTCAAGCATACAAACACCTGATTGATGTGTATTGAGAAACCTGATGACATCTGAAAAACTGAACTTTAGACAAAGAATGTTGAAAGAGCAAAACTGAGGTAACAGTTCTTTGTTTTAAAGCCCATGCAAGCTAATTATGAACAAGCTGAATGATTTATTTCACAGAATATAAGCATGTGCATGTGACATTTCTGACTCAGAGTCTGTTGGTACCACCAGCAGCATGGGAAGTTGAGTATAATCTCATGGAATGTGCTATTGCAATGCAAGTGGGGAGAGAAGGAAAGCAGAAGCTCTCAGAGTGTTATTCTACTTCACGCATGGTAAGATTTTCACTGGCAGAAGAAACACTCTCCTATTTCCACAAAGAGATGAAAAAGTATGAGAACCACTCAACATGTACAATGTGGAAGTCCTGGTTCTCTGCTGAAAACAGATTTCTCCCAAAAGCATTTTGATTCTTCCAGTATAAATTTTGAGTCCAGAAAAGTAATTAAGTGATGTTCCTAATGTGAAATGCATTGATGAACAGTGTTGTTATTTGAACTTCTAAACTATGAGCATGTGCTTTTAATTGGAAACAGAACAGAGAAATATTTAAAAGTAGCTGTGAAGCTAACTGATTGAGACAGATTAATTGATGAAATGATGTGGCTCAGTTAAGTTTAGCACCCACTGAATCAGGTATTTACATCCTCTGAACTTCCATTTTGAGCAGATGTTTAATCCCACCGGCCAGATGGTGCATTCTACAGAAAATGGAAGCTCATCCCAGACTTTCCAGGATCTCCTTTTGGGAAACAGGAGCAATAATGCCCTGAGGACAGCTGAATATAACTCTCTAATGCTTCAAGTAGTGTCGTAAGAGCAGCCTGCCTGCCCATCCACTGCCTTCTTCAGTTATCCTTCTCATTAGAAGTAGAAAGATGTGTTCTGAAGGAGGAGGTATCAGCAACTCTTTCACATTCCTTAGCACAAAAATGTAGGTTGCGGCCTTCTTCAGGCATTTCAGGAGAACTCCCTGGTTTAATGGACAAAGCTCTGGGGCTATTTGGAGAAGACACTCATGCATTAACACCATTGGACACCCATCCTATTTCTAGAAGGATCACCCCAGAAGTTCTTGCAAGTTCATACAGGTGGCCCCTCCCTTCAAGAGCTCTGCTATTGGGAAATTAAAATAGCATCAACATTAAGAAAGACATATTATATGTGCTCAGCATTTATTTTTATTATTATCAAAGGAACCCTAGTACAGGAGCTGATATGAAATAAAGTATGACAGTATTTTAGTTGTCACCAACCAATTCAGATATATGTACATTTAAGAGACTGATCAGCTAAAAATCTGACAATGGATCCAATTTTTTTCAGTCATTTAATTAAGAGATACATTTAGGTCCTTCTTTCAGGCTTTCTTTTGATGTGGTAAAATCAGCACAAGAGATTTTTTCACTGCATCAGTTTTGTGCATATTTCATTTAGGCACACACCCACATGAAAGCCAGTATTTGACATCGTATCAAGGCAGCAAAATGGGAAGTGGAATTTGCCCTGAGGCACTGAGAGCAACTCTCAACAGGTGAGGATGCACTTGATAAGGTCTGCTTGGCTCAAAAGGAAAGTAGAAATTGTCTAACAGTGGACAAAAGGCTCATTGAATGCAACAGGGCTTCTACCCAGCTCGTGTACATAGGATTGCCACTAAAATAAACGAATAATGAAATAAACAAGCCCATGCTGATTCTCTTACACCCTAACAATTCAGTGGTGCAAGCAGTACCCATTGGTTGCACAAAGGTGATTTAGTGCTTCCTGGAAATGACCCAAAATGAGTGGAAATTTTCATTCCTGGAAGGGAGCAGATCAGCAGAGTTCATGTAAGGAAGCACCATCAGTTTGCTCCCTTTGAGAAATTTCTGATCTTGTCAGTGCTTACATCCAGAACAGTTCTGCAAGAAAGACCACTTCCACAGTGGAATTGGGAGGACATGGATGGGTAGGATTGGATACTGCCCTGAATGTATTACACAAAAAACTACCAATGCTTGGTTAATGAAACTGCATTCATAGTACTGATATGGAAGACCTTGCAGAGTAACAAATCTGTAAAGAGACATGTATTGGGTATCATCCAGTGTTGTTCTGTTGCTTGTGCTAGTGATGTTGTATTAGTGCAAACCAACACAGCTCTTAACTTAGCTAGCAACAGAAAGCAGGGAATTGTTCCCAGGGAATCAAAGAAAGCAAGAAATGGTTGATAAGGAAGAAAGGACTTCTTGCAGTGGCAAAAAAGACTGATTTTTCTTCAGAATATGGCACATATTCCTTGGTGTATTTTATGAAAACACCAAGCTAGATGTTCCACCATGTAACAAATAGGCTACAAATAGACTATATCACCCCTGAAAATATGTCCTGCTTGCACCACAAATGTCAGCCTATCAGTAGTTCAATGGGCGGTGTCAGAAATCAGGGAGAATGTTAAATTAAACCTCCTGATGGAGTTGGGCTGAATGAGCAAGCTGTAAGCATACCGCCCAGTATACCCAGAAAGACGTTAGATGCAGACTATACATCATTAATGGTGAGTGAATCGTGCTTTTTTGTAACTGATTATAAGGTTGGATGTTCCTAGACTTCAAACTCGTAGAGGATAAAGAAGATGTCTAGGACCATCTCTATTTGAAGTACTAGAGCAATGGACACTGTGACCAATGCGCAGGTAATGCCTGGATCCTGCCACAATGATGAATTTCTCTCAGAAAATCCATAAGCAAAGAATGCCCTGCAAGTTCTTTTGTATAAATAGTTCTTTGTAGTCATGTAAACAAATGACATTCTTTTCCTACAGGCTAAAAATGTTCCACTTTGTAAACTGAGTTTGATTGTTACCCTGGATTAGTCACACTTCAGGGGATCAAAATGCAAATCCACCCTGACAAAAAAGAAAAAAAAAAATTCTGAAAGCTAAATAGATGGATAGGCCAGACTTCTTCATGCAATCTGTTTTTGCCTTTTGTCTTTGGTTATAATGAATAGAGATCAACATGAATAAACAAAAACTTGTTGTAGTGGAAGCCTTGCAATCTAGTTGTGTTGTATTTCCTAGCTGAAATAATATGCTTTTCCTTCATGAAAATTTTCACTGCCTTGTTTCTTGGAGCCAGATGCTTTATAACCCAATTAATGCATACCCATCATAAACGTTTTGTGCTCATTTGCTTATAAGAAAGCTCAGCTTTATCAAGTCCACGCCATTAGTTTGTATAAATATTGCCTTTTTAATGCTTTAAGCAAATAAACCTGAAGAAGGATACCTAACATTTTAAATAACTTCAACATATTAAACAATAATTGGCCTAATAATAGTTTTGCCTTGACATTGGCTCTTATTATGTGGCATCTAGAGTGGTTACTAAAGTAATCTACTTTAAGAATGAGTTCATTTAAAGGGGGGAAACGTGCCTAAGAAGCCAGCTTTGCAATCTATAAATAAGCAGCCACATGCTTTAGTTGCGTGAAGAAATCGAAAGTGACACTCGGGCATTGTTCAGGTTCATTCGCATGAACATTTCCCAGGATTTTACTTTCCCAATCAATGCACACATCCAGGTGGTAGAAGAAGGGCTCTGTCTCAGAGGCTTGCATGGGGAACACAGGTGCAAATTCTTAGTATTTCTAGTTAAACAGGACTCAGGTAGCAGGGGATGGGAAAGTGCTGTTTGCCTGCCACAGCAGGAGCATAGACATATAGGAAGCTGCTATGTACTGAGTCACACTGTTGGTCCATCTAATTCAGCATTACATGTCTATACTGCCCAATAGCCCAAGTTACCTGAGTGGTTTACTTCCCTCAGAGAGCAGTCCTCAGAGGAGAAACTTGAGCCTCCATGGATGGGGTTCAGACCCTCTGTGGGCCAGAGGTTCAAAATTCTTGCTCTACACAGACAGGAAGTGGTTGTCCAGGATTTTAGGGAGGACATTCTCAGCCCTGAGGCTGGAAACTTTACATGGAAAAATTGTGGCTACCACTATAGGCTGCAGCCTTTTCTTCACCATCACAGTATACAATGCCAGGTTTAGATGTACTAATCATATGATGCAACATAAGGCAGTGATCTATGATTGAAACCCATTGTATAATATCTAATCTGATTATTGGTTTGATACTTACTTCAGTCACATGATTTTAAAAATCTTGTTAAAAGTAAACTCAGGTTGAAGGGGGAAAAAAGCATACCCTGCCACAGGAAAAAAATGCGATGTAAAAACAAAGCCTACAATAATCTGTATGTGAGCATTTGCAGGAAGAATACAAAAGTTGCTTAATATGGATAAAGTATAATGGATAGATACATTTTAAAAAGCTTTCCAAAGCTGCCACAGGTGGCCTGTCAGTTCAGAGACCAATCCAACTGGCTGGCATCGTAAGACAGATTATCTCTATCACCCGTTGGACACTGGTTTTATAACAATACAGAGCCTTCATCCACAAATCAATATGCACCTTAAAGGGTGAGAATACTGGTGCCACCAGACTGGTGTCCCTGAGATGTCAGACTGATGAAGCAAAACAAAACTAATTTTGTGCTGTAGACTTGTTGATCCATACCTGAGACAGGAGAATTTGGTTGATGGTAGGCTCTTCGATTCTCAATTCCTACTTGTTGCTGCTTGAATTCTTTGACTTCTTTCTGCTGTGGAGGAGTTGCAGATGTTCCCATAGGCTTTTCTCTGCCAACTAAATTTTAATTAAGAGAAAGATTAAAGGCCATCACTTTTTACTTCTCAAGAAACTTCCAATAAATTCAAGAGGGAAGTAGGCCTTGCAAGATACCAATATATAATAGAAAAGAATAGCATATCATATAATCTGACATAAATATCCATTCCTTTTTCTTCTGAATGTTATAGATACACATACTTGGCTTTCTCCTAGAAGCTCATCACTCTTCAAAATTGCAAAAGAAGTTGGTAATAAATTCCTGTTGCTGCCTTGAAAATCTAATTCATATGTTATAAGCACATCAAGTGGCTTACTCCAGGGAGATATTCCTGTACCTCCTATACTTTCTTCTTTCCAAAAAAGAAGGAGGGAAATTCTTAACCTTAAGGGATTCTTATGATTATATGGTCCCCTTGACATTGTCTGGAGGCCCACTGGATAGTTCCAATTACCAGCTTGGAGGCTGGAGACAGCAGTCTGACCTTGAAGCAGGAAACTCCAACTCAATCCTTCTCTCCTGCAGTCTCACAGCCAGAATGAAAAGAACTAGCTGTGCTCTGACATGAGGAAAGCAACTTCGCACAGGGAGTAAAGGAGGCATTTTGGGAGCAGGGAACAGAAGACACTGGTGTGGCCAAGGTAGGAGGTATCCTAAAGCTGCTCCAGTCACCTCCTCTGAAGCACCCCAGCTAGATGGCCAAAAATCTGAGCATGGGGTTTCTGGGCATACTGGATTGTGCCCCAAGAATGTTCAGGTTCAGGAAACACTCCTTCTGTGCTTGTTCAAGCCAGCCCAATGCAGAATAGTAATCAGTACCATTTTGATACTTAGATCTGTCAGGAGAACTAATATTAACATTGCAATGTATACATTTTATAGCTGCACAATTAAAAGCATTAGAAGAGTTTTTCAGGGACTACATAATAAAAAATGTTTCAAATACAGATCTTCCACCTCTAATAACTTCTTCACCACATGTCTGCTATTTGGCTAAATTATAAAACAAGCCTCTGCAGCTTAATCTATTTAACATATTTACTTTATTAAAGTAATAATACATAATCTCATTCTTAGATTTTATCAATGACTTTTAAAAATATAGAGCTTGCAAACAATATTTTCTCAAAGTAAAATAGTGACAATTTTAAATGCTATTTACATTTGACAACTTGTGGGTAGAACAAAACGTTGCTTTCTCCAGTATGAACAACTGGTTTGGCCTGACCATTAGGCAGAAGGCCAACATATATCCCTCTATTTCGTGCAGATTCCAGACTTACAGATCCACTTTCTAAATTCTTCTCCACTTTAAAATGGCAGTCTATACCTCCTGTGCCCTGTAAATAAGGAGCATATTAATGTGAATACCACTGGATGTGTCATGCATCTGGAAGATTATTTGTGAATGTAAAATGAACATATAACTTCAGTTGCATAATGTTGTGCCTCAATTCAACAAGGGAGTTCCATATATAGAAACTGCTTTCTGTGTGCAAAGATACTCTAGAAGCAAGTGTTGCTCTTGATGCTTATTTGGATGGGTCCTGTTCAATTTGCTAGCTTTGCTCCCCTGCATAGAATCAGCAGCTGCTATGTGCAACAGCTTTCTTGCTCTTAAAGATGGTTTGAGTTCCACTTCCTTGTAAAACATCACAAAACCAGAAAGCACTTTATCACTCTCCCCTATCCCCACCTCACACACCATATCTATTTACCCATCTACTTTTATGTCCAGTAGGGAGACCATGTTTGCTACTTTACAGTCCTCTTCCTGAGGTGCTGCAAGTTCTCTATTTGAAGTGCTGTCCAGCTCATGAAAAAGTTAAGATGAAGAACCATAAGAAGGAGTCTTGACATTGCCTGTCAAAAATTAGCCCCTGGATAGCAGACCACTATGTCACCTGTTTAGTTCTTATTTCTATTTAAAACAATCAAATTGGTAACTATACATATCAGTTAGAATCCCCATATTTCATGTATACCTGTTACCCTTTTTTTTGTCTGTTTGTTGATGTCTTTCTTCTTTTAGTGATGTATATGTGGCTTTTCTAACTTCCCAACAGGCACAATGAAGTGGTACCCCATAAGAACATATGAAGATACCTTACACTAAGCCTGAATATTGACCCACCAAGCCCAATACTGCCAACACTGACTGGCAGCAGCTGTCTAGGCTTTCTGGTGGGGGTTTTTCCTACCATACCTGGAGATGCCAGGGATTGAACCTGGGACCTTCTATGTGTAAAGCAAGTGTTCTTCGAATGAGCTATGCCCCCTCCCTAAACCTCATGGAAGGCCAACTGCCAGGATGATTCTGGATACCTGAGCCCCAGCATAGGAATTACTGGACAGGAGTCTCTGTAACTGGCTGGTGTACCAAAACATGTTAAATGCCAGCTGGTACAGTCCTCAGAGAAAAATGTCTGCAAAGGTGAAGGAATTACAAAGGCAGACTTAACATTTTACTGTGGAAGATAAAGACTAAGGAGAAGACAAGCTACTTGATGGCTATTGCTTAGAGTAGTGATTGCATGCAGACCTAGAAGGTATAGTACAGATTTCTCCAATGCCCTTATCACTGTCGTGAAGGAAGATACTTCATACACAGATACCAAGTGTTCTGAAAATGTGAGTCATGGTGCATGAGTCAGAAGCGTTCTGATTCATTTAGCAGTTTAGGAAACATTTAACCTACTTCACAGCCAAAACTCCCAGTGTTTCAATATTTTGTGATGGGCAGGAGCTGTGAAAATTTCAAGCCTCTTAATTTAGCAAATATATATTGCTGCAATTTTGAGGTAAATGACCCCTATATTAGTCATTTAAAAACTATTCATTGTCCTGTATCTCATGGATGTGTTAAAGCCATTACTCAGAAAGATCACATAGAATTACAAGCATATTTGGTTCTATGGGTTTCTTTTTTTAAATGTGTCCCATGCAAGGAAGAATGTTTCTTGGTATAGTAAGGGTACAATGCTTTTGCTTCCCCTGACATTGTCTGGGGAAGGCATAGAAATTTCCAGAGCTCGAGCTCTTAATGGCCTCAGACACCCTATTTTGGGACACCAAAATATGATCCTGTTCCTTGTCTGCATTATAGCTGGCATAGAAAGAGCTACACTGACTGCCTCTCTGAGGGTCTCCATGATGAAAAAAGGTGTGCCAGGGAACAAGGAGAAAGGTGAGGATGGAGCTGTCACCTTAACCCTCCCTTCCATCCTGCTCCAGTGCTAAAACTAGACATCTAGAAATAGCTGTCTAGAGAAAATATACAGGACAAGTAGCAGCAGCAATGGAGTCACCACCATCACATCTCCCTCCATATGTTGGATGTAGATGAATACCTGAGGTTTGAAGCTTATGTGAATCTACTGTGAAAGGCATAGGATTGTACCCTAATCTACTGCACACACTATTGAGAAATCTGAAGCAGACCTCTCCTGAAATTCACAGGTTTCCAAATGGGTAAACATATAAAATTTACCATAAGATCCTTCATAGGTCACACACACATACACAAACACAAAGGGAAGAAAAAGCAAACAAAATCTGGTTTTCTTAAAACAATTCCATTCAAACAGAAGGGAGAAGTGAGGCCTGCAAGAATCTATCACAGTTGTCTAACCGTGTGCAACCCAAGAGCAGCTAAACAAAGTAAAAAAAAACCTGAATTGGAACTCATCCAGATTTGGCATTCTTGAACTACTATAAAACACGGGATGGCTTTCTAAAAACAATAGCTCTTCTTGCAGATAGAACTAAAGGGGGAAGTGGAACAAGAACATATAAATAAGTCACAACCCTAGTGTTCCAACACTAGCTTCTGGTTATATCTTTGTGCATTGGAAGCAGAGGTTTGAAAAGGATAGTATATATAAGCATGTTCAGCTGATTGTGCTTACATAGCTTCTGTGATTACAACTTTGCCTTATCAGACCTTCATACTCAACCCATAGGGACTTTGGGAAGCAATTTACATGCATTCCCACACTTACTCTCCACTTTCTCCCTGTGCATGAACAAAATGCCTGCACGTGGCTCACATTTCCTGTAGAACCTGATGCAGACTCCACCAAGATAATACTTTAAACATTAAGCGTATTTGTTCAGCTGTTATTGTATCTTTGTTCTGAAGAAGCTATTATTAAGAGTCTGAGAGCTTTGCCATCTTATTAATAGTTGAATACAGCATTATAATGGACATTTCAATTTATCCTTTGGCATTCTCACTACTACAAATCTACTGATGCTTATTAGATACAATAGTTTAGTCATCTCATAGATAACAAGCCAGTTTTACTCAGCAGTTGGCATTGACCCTAAGACTAGATTTAAAATTATTATGAAGAAACCTATTGTTTAACTTTATTCTAGCTGTGAGGCAAGGTAGAGCACAATGTCTTACAGACCAAGTACTAGCATGAGTATCTGAAATACATTATAGTCTAAGTGTCATGTTGGCCCAGTTCACAGCTTATATTAAACCATGTTTTCTGGGGAATCCTGGCTTATAAGGACATGCAAACCAGATTGCAGTTTTTACCACATCACTGAGGAACAAAAAATGAGTGTATCATCATGTCTTATTCAGTTCCTTTCCTTTCCTTTATTTATTTATTATTTATTTATTTATTTAGAGTATTTGTATGCCGTCCTATCGCAGAGCCTCAGGATGGCTTACATGTTTGCACAATTTAAAATTGCTTTCTTTCTGTGGCAAGTTGTGTTCACAATTGCAAAGAAAAGATGAACAAAACTGCTTACTGTTCCATTACACTGGCCATCCTTGATCCTCAAATACATTCTTGGGTGTTTTACACTTTCAAACATGCAAACTCCAGAGCTGATTTTATGTACTCTCCAGTAAGAGTCATCAGATTGATTTCCTGCTCCACTGCAGCTCCCATCAGACCTCAGGCACAGAGACTGGCAGTAGCTAGTAGTGAGCAAAATTATGGCACCATTGTGGAACACTCCCTAGAAACAGTAAAGAAAACCAGATATAAATAAGATTTCCTTTCAGAGTGCTGTCCACCCTTCCATTCTCCCCCTGCCCCCAGGCCTGTACAGTGACCATGCAATCCATGTTACCCTCAACAAATCAGGAAATAGTAATTTGGGAAAAGGGGTGAGATGGCCATTCACAGCTGTGTCTCTGTAAGGTGAATAAGGTCACAATCCAATCAAGATGCACATAAGCACTGAATTCATCCTATGCCGGTAGAAGGAACGGTGGAGACACTCTTCAGTTCTTCATCCTTCTTGCTCTGAATTTCTGCTAGATGGTTGTTTTCAGTCATCTAGTTGGGGTGCTTCAGAGGGGGGAAGAAGGAGGTTAAAGAAGTCACAAGATAGGTCATCCCCTTGCCTCTGCAATCTGCTCTCCTCTCTCTGGAATGCCCCTATGAAGCCCTCCCTGAGGTCAAGTTTCCAGCCTCAGAGGGCAGCCAACGTGGTTCTTTCTGCACAAGCTGCAAGGGAGTGCAGGGGGATTGGAGTGTTGACACCCAGCTCTAAGATAGGAAAGCTGACTCTAACCCTGGATATGGGACTCTGACATAGACACTGTCTAGGGAGCCAGAAGATCACTCCCTAATAGCCAGATGAGTTTATACTTTCTAATGTTGCACAATCGTGAATCTTTAAGCTCATGAACACCCCCAAATATTTTTCTGTCATGCCATTGTTTATTTAGAAGTGTAGTTATAATTCAGCTGGAGCATCAAAGTACAGTAAAATAGAGGGAAAGCTAGTAAGTAGATAGTGCTGAACTTGAACCTGAGATAGTTGGTTTCAAATCCCAGCTCAGCCACAGATTCAATAGATGGCTCTGGGCAATTCACACTTTTCAGCCTTGATTCCTCTTCTATAAAAATGATAAAATTAGTACAGTGACCTGCTTGACAGGCCTAGTGAGATAGGTATCCTAAAGCACTGTGTCATGAGGGTGTTCCATATCTATTTATTAATAGCATTTTCTTCAAGTACTCTGAAGAATGCTGAATATGCCCTGCAGCTACTGGGTAGGTGTGGGGAGAAGTCTATGAAGGATGAGAGTGCTGAAAGCTTGGAGGTGGGTGCAGAGGGGGCAAGCTGTTCTGGAGACATTTTGCATTAATCTTTACAAAGAAGCACCAAATCCACAAAATTAGGACCATCCAAAATGTCACAAAAGAATTAGCAACCCTTCTGTTTTTGTCCCCCCCCCCCCCGACCTCTTCATTAGACTGGGTATTAAGGGGTGAGAAGAGGGGGCTTTAAATCTGTAATCACCCTAACATTGGTACCAGGTTCATGGCAAAGCCATATCTCAATCATTATAGCCACTTTGCCTTCCATAGCCCTGTGACCTGATTATATACTCTGTATATAAAGGGAGGCAAACAATACTTCTTTAAAGCATTCAAAAGTGAATTCTTCACCTTCATTATCTCAGAGCCAAAATATACTTTATGCTGTCACACATCACTAGTTGTCATGTCATCTGAGCTCAGGTCACTACCCACATTATGGGTTGCCAGGAACCACCTGCTGTTCTTGCCAAGCTTGCCCAGACTGCCACCAGTGCCAGCTTTTTCTTCAGGTTCCCAAGTGGCACTTTGGAATGACCACTGGTTCTCTCCCTCAAACCAGAACCGCAAGCCTTTTTCACATGCCACAGCCTTTCCCCCACTTTTTTCCTTGTTGCTGGAGGTTGTTTTTAAAGTCAGTAGAGTTGTCAAGCGACAACCACTGACACCCTACTGAATGCCCCAGTAGCAGATTGGAGTGGTTATCAGTTCTTTGCTGTCTGTTGTTGTTTCTTCTTCTTTGTCTTCATCTTCATCGTCTTCTTCTTCTCCTTTTAAACAATGGAATGCTTGCAGTTATTTGTAAAATAAAAAAGAAACCCTTTTTTGCCAGTTCCCTGGAGTTCTGCAACTGTGTAACTCCAGTTAGCTGAAATAAAAAGGCTTGCCGAGGCAATGCCCTGCTAAGCACCTCCTGTCAACGTGAAGCTGGCACCAACCAGGAACATTAACACAGAGAGCCTGAAAATAGGTTACTTTGCATTTACTTTACAACTGTAAAATGCAGAGCTATCAAGGGAAAGCAAACTCCCAAGGGCTTTGTTTTCAGAAGGGGGAGATGTCTTCCTCACTTTCTTGGTGGGATCCTCAAGAAGATGTGTCCTCAGTAGTTCCTAGTGTGCCACATTTTTCTGACTTTTCTTAATCTCCAGCTATTTAGGAAAGCAAAGGGCACAAGCCTCCCCTACTTCAGGAGCTTCTTTGTTAGCTGTCTAAGGAAAGGTGTTGTTGCTTTTGCCATTGCTGTTGCAACACTCTAGCAAATCTCAGTGATTCCTTTTTTGGCAGGGGAATAGGCATTCACAGAAAAGGGGAGGAAGCTGCAACAAGCACAAAAGACCTTGCAATTGCAGTGAGGGAAGGACAGAGGGTGGTTTTAGTCTCCTTGTCCCTTGGGATAGCTCCTGAAGGGGCAGGAAATACCTATCATGAGCTTGAACACCTGTTAGGCCTAGCATGTGTTTTTCAACAACCCAACAAACATTATTTTCAACAATATTGGTTATTCACAGAGTGGTGAATAGAGTGGTTAAACTTAAACTGAACTCTCCTCCATGTTCTGAAATGTTGCACACAACCTCATCTACATTTTGCATGGCTTCCGCAGAACGATATAGGACCACAAATGCAATAAAAGCATTTTCTCCTACAAGGCTAATCAAGTGATTTCATAGTGTTAAGTTGCAATTGCAGTCTTCAGCTCCACCTAGTGGGTGGAGATCCCTTTCGCATCTTTTGAAACCTGATCAAACCTGATTACAGGGCCTTATGTCATCTCCAGTCTTACCTTAACATGAACAATAAACTCCTTTGTTAGTCCAGCATAACCTGTGGTATCATCAGCTACTGTGCCTTGCAGGTTGAAAGTAATAGTCTGGCCAGGGTTCTGGACAGATTCCAGCACTGTGCAGCGATTTGGTTGAACATGAACGCACAGCTCACAGTGGATATCGCTGTGGTCCTAGCAAAGGCAAAATGGAATGAAACAGCCCAATGAACAACTGGACTTCCTGATATCAGGTCATGGCAATGGACTTTTGCATAACTATTTGTCACCTTGTGGTGCCAGAAGCACACTATTCTTGACACTGAAAATCAGCCTGCTATGTAGACATTTGCTTCTTTTGGCTGCATGCTTGTATGCCCAAGCTGCTGAAAGCGGCAGGATTTACATGGTCTAATATTGTGCTGTCTGGAAATGTGAAGCATCTAAATAATTTCTTGAGAGATGAGAACGTTGCCTTCCAAAACCAGGTTGTCTTAGCATTTGCTGAACCTAATTAGGAATTTACTGAAGGTAATTCTTGGATGATGCACTTAAAAATACAAAGTATGTGCTACATTGATGATAATAGTAATACCTCCTTTGAAAAGGCTATGTGTGGTGAGGGTAAGATGGCTGGTGTTGCATAAATTTACCCAGACTTCTGACTTTAAAGAAATAAGTCCATTATATTTACGAATTTTATATAAACCACTCTGATGGCTTTTTATTGAAAAAAAACCAAAGTCATAATTATAACTATTGAAGAGTTATAAGTGGGTGAAAATACCTCACATCTAGTAAACTTTACAACTCAGGAAGGTTTCTCACCTGATACTTTAACAGCAAGAATTGGTCAAAGACATCTAATTGTTAGTTACATATGTATTACAGAGCTGGCTCATGCTGCCTGGAGCAATCATAGTTATAGGGTACAAGCACATCAGTCCAAGCCTTAGGATTCTTATATGCCTTGTAATAGCACTGAGGATGTATTATGTGGTTCCATCCTACAGACAATTGCTTTATGTGAGATTACACAATATTTTGGCAGCCCCCCCCCCATTTATTAAAGTGATGTTGTAGTCAAACACATTGGCTGCATGTACACAATGTGCATATGAAAGGGCTAACAGGACCTGCACACAGTTCTATCAGCAGCCATGTAGAAGCCATGGGGATGCAGGATGCTCATCCATAATTCAAAAATCTAAGTGCTACCTACTGTCCACAAGTATACTGAATATTGCAAACTGCATGACATGAGGATTATTCTCAGATAAGCTTCAGATGAGTGGACGACCAGTATTCAACTCACAATCAGTGTGTGTGGGTTGAATTGGCAGTTTTCTCCTACTCCAAAGATATAAAGAGATATAGTGTGTGTGTGTGTGTGTGTGTGTGTGTGTGTGTGTCGGGGGGGTGCTGCTGTGTGCATGCTGTTGTGGACATGCACACACAAGGCCACTGGTTTTCTTCTGAGTAAGCTAGAAAATGGTAGTGAGCACATTGGCTCCACAGATGCTGCCTTTGTGCCTGCCCATGGATGGAAAGTGGCCCTCTGAAACGCTTCCCATTCTGCAATTTCACCCTCGAGCTAAAAATATTTTCCCACCCTGAACTGTAACGTGCAGCATTCAGAAAGCAGATACTATCCTGCCGCCTTATTAACAATAACATAAACAGAAATACCAATAAGAAATAAGAAGGTTGCACTCAGGGGTGCAGTTCAGAAGCTCAGACTCTGGAATAAAAATCTACCAGCTGTTCAGTTCAGATTTAAGATTTGAAACTTATCCCTGTCTCTGTGTGAAACTATCTCCACCTTCTTGTAAGAGCAAAATCCCTTTATATTATGTTTTTAAAAGATGAAACACACATTATTAGAAGCTAAACCTGCAAATATGATTTGTGGGATAATCCTTCAGCATTACAGGCATTGCTGTGATTTTATGGGTGGTGCTGTTGGCTAGAAAGCTAAGAGCATAGCATTAACTAAATTATAACTGGTACTAATATGTAGTATTATAAAAATGCACCACTGTGGTTGCATTTTAGATTGACAATAAAACCTCTAGACAAAGAAACTTGTCTGTGTTAAAGGCTTCATGAAACCCTCTCATTCTTCTATCCCTTTCTATCCTCAACTTCCTGGCAATGAGACTCTAATATCTCCACATTATCTACATAATGCATATCACAAGATTTATGCAAATCCTTGATAATAGAGATAGAATAGCACTAGAAGTTTGTGTGATTCCAAAGAAAACTACCAAAATCATGAGGCTTAGTAATATACTGTAACTCCAAAGGTAAGGCTTTAGAATGTATTTTTATTTTCCCCACATCATTTCCAGCCAAATGATCCTTAAAAATGCATAAAATGGTGCAAAATAGCTATTCAACTATGCTTCAGTGTGATTGTATATTAAATCAATATTACTATTCGCAATGGTGAAAACAAGCTCCTCATTTTCATTTGGAAGCTAAAAGGAGCTGTGCTGGATCAGACCAAAGGCCTGTCTAGCTTCCACAGTGACCAATCAGTTATTTACAGGCAGCTCCAAAATAGCAAATATGCAGTAGTCAATTACTCTTTTCCCATTATTCATTGCATAATACCATCATACAATTTGAGAAGATAAACGCTGAGGGCTTTTCTTTGGCAGTTTCTAAGAATTGTCACTTGGAAGATAAGAATGCATTTTACTCTATCTCATCCCCAAACACTTTTCTTAATATTTCAAAGCTTTAAACAAGCAACTTTTTCCCAATGTAGTATTCTAATACTATACAAAATACAGAATTCATCAGATTTAATCATAAGCTTCTGGAAATAGGTTCAGCTTCCAGTGCATTTGTGGAACAGTTTTAAATAATCAGAAGGTAATAGTAACAGTGAAAATATTTCCTACCATTGCAGTGACAGAGCCATGAGAAAGAGCAAGGGCAAGATATGGCATCAGATGGCATTTAAATACACATGTGTTTTCTTTCTTGACAGCCACATCAAAAAGACCTGGTAAATTCAGAGAGAGGGGTTAAAAAGGTCAACCACCTGGCCATTGCTGTTTCATAGTATTTTATTTTAGATACTATGGGGTGATCAGGGAGGGGTAGCACCTCTGGTGTAGGGGCATGTCGTGTCCTCCTAGGGCAGCTCGTCCACCTTTGGTCCCCACTTGTCACCCAGCTCTCACCTGTGGCTCCCAGTAGCTGTAGCATGCGCAGCAGCCACACCCCGGGCAACAGCTTCGACAGGCTGGCCAAGCCAGGTGGAAGGTAGCCGTTGGGTCAAGAGCTTCGGTGAGATAGGGATTTGTCTGTCCCAAGCATGTGAAGACAGACTCTGGCGGATTGAGCGGATGAGACCTACTAGAATAGGACCAACGGTCATGAAGGCGGTTTCTGCAAGCGTTGTGGTACGCTAAGAGCATGGCAAGACATGAAGAGGCCCTGGTCAACCACTGCGCCCAGCCCACCTCCAACCATCTCGACTCTTGTCCTGCCACTGCAGCAAGATGGATTCTGGGAAGAGAGAGTGAGGCTGACTATGCGCACCTCTCCCTCACTTTAATCCAATCCACACGCAAGTCTTGACATCCTCAGTTCAGCCTCAAAGTCCTGTGGCGATGGGTGAGCGACGAAGCAGCAGGTGTGGATACACTGGGAGCTGAAGCCGCGGACCTGCACACAGGCGGCTCAGGTCTAATGGTCATCTTCTTGCTGACTGAAGCAACAGCTGGATTCGGCGTCTACCTTAGTAACTGAGCAGCCCTCTTTAGGACTGCACTGCTCACCTCCGTAGCAAGAGGAAGGGGCTAGAAAAGGTGCCCTAAATATTGTTTGCTTCACAGAACCCTGGCCAGCTTACCGTGGCTGGAGGGGATCCCATCTTATGCGGTCGAACAACAAAACTGCAAACAAAACGCAAACGCAAGGTAACACCACTGACTATTGGCACGTGGAATGTATGCACGCTTCAAGACAACCCCTCAGCAGATTGACCAAAAAGAAGAACAGCCCTGGTCACCAGAGAGCTTGCAAGATTTAACATCAATATTGCGACCCTGTGTGAAACTTGCCTAGTCAATGAAGGTCAGCTCACAGAAACAGGAGGCGGTTACACATTCTTCTGGTGTGGACGTAGCAGTGACGAACGCTGTGAATCTGGAGTTGGCTTTGCAGTTAAGAATCATCTTGTCCCCATACTTGCCAGTCTTCCCAAAGGTGTGAACAACCGACTCATGGCAATGCATCTCCCACTACCAAGAGGAAAGCAAGCCACACTGATCAGGGTCTATGCACCCACAATGACGAATCCAGATGAAGTAAAGGACAAGTTTTATGAAGATCTTGATGCCCCACTCTCATCCGTGAAGCACACCGACAGGCTGATTCTACTTGGCGATTTCAACACGAGAGTAGGATCCGATCACTCTGCCTGGGATGGCATCATTGGAAAAAATGGAATTGGCAAATGTAACAGAAATGGGCTACTACTACTGAAGACATGTGCGGCTCATGATCTGATCATCACTAATACCATCTTCCGCCTGCCCACTCGCAAAAAGACGTCCTGGATGCACCCACGCTCCAAGCACCGGCATCTCATTGATTATGTCATCATGCGCAGGAAAGACAGACAGGATGTAAGGGTGACCAAGGCCATGCCGAGTGCTGACTGTTGGACTGACCACAGACTCATCATCTCCAAATTAAGCCTTCACATCAAGCCTAAGAGACATCCGCAGGGAAACAAAGCTATGACGAAAAAGATCAATGTCAGTAAACTGAGGAACCCCAACACAGCAGCTTCACTAGCAGAAGATCTTGACAACCAACTCTCAGAGCTGCAATTAGAGGAAAATGCTGAGAAGGACTGGAAATGCTTCCGGGATATTGTGCACTCTTCTGCACTAAAGGTTCTTGGACTCTCACACAGGAAACAGCAGGACTGGTTTGATGAAAATGATGAAGAGATCAAGGCCTTACTTGCCAAAAAGCACCACCTTCACCGTGCTCATCAGAATGACCCATTGGCAACAACGAAGAAAAATGCCTTCAACAACGCTCGCAGGACTGTACAGAGCAAGCTTCGCAAGATGCAGGACTCCTGGCTGAGTGCCAAAGCAGATGAAATCCAGAAGTTTGCTGATAGAAACGATGCCAAACAGTTCTACAAAGCCCTCAGAACCTTGTACAGACCTCAGCCTTCAGGGAGCTCCCCTCTACTGGACTCAGATGGTGCATTACTGAGAAGACTCTGATTCTACAGCGTTGGGCTGAGCACTTCCAATCCGTATTGAAATGCCCATCCCCCATCAATAATGAGGCAATTGACAGAATGCCCCAGGTGGATATCAACCACAGCCTGGATGCCCCACCATCAAAGCCTGAAACCCTACAGGCCATAAGCCAGCTGTCCAGTGGCAAAGCCCCAGGATCTGATGCAATCCCAGCGGAAGTCTATAAGGAAGGTGGTGCAGTGCTTGTCGACAAACTCACTCAGCTGTTCCAGTCCTTCTGGAATCAAGGATCCATTCCTCAGGAACTGAAAGACGCGTCCATCGTGCACCTCTACAAGAGGAAAGGAAATCAACAAGTCTGTGATAATCATAGAGGAATATCACTGCTCTCCATCGCAGGCAAGATCCTTGCTGAATCGCCTGACTGACCACCTGGAACAGGGTCTACTACCCGAGACACAGTGTGGCTTCCGCAGAGTGTGGCACTGTGGACATGATCTTCACAGCCCAACAGCTCCAAGACAAGTGTTAAGAGCAGAATCGTGAACTGTACACCATCTTTGTGGACCTCACCAAGGCTTTTGACACTGTGAGTCGTGAAGGTCTGTGGTGCATCATGTCGAAGTTTGGGTGCTCTGACAGATTTATCCTGATGGTACGTCATTTCCATGACAGCATGACAGCTCATGTTTTGGACGATGGAGAAGCTTCAGAGGCCTTTCCCGTCACAAATGGCATCAAGCAAGGGTGCATTCTGGCACCAACCCTGTTCAGCATAATGTTTTCAGCCATGCTGACAGACGCCTTTCAGAATAACTCCTTGGGATTCAGCCTGAAATACAGGACCAATGGGAAACTGTTCAACTTGCGAAGACTCCAGGCTGTCACCAAGATAAAGGAGACTGTGCTACGAGACCTCCTTTTTGCTGACGATTGTGCCCTGAATGCTGGATCAGAGCAGGAAATGCAAGCCAGCATGGACAAATTTGCAGTAGCATGTGACAACTCCGGCCTCCTCATCAACACAGAGAAAACCAAAGTGATGCATCAGCCAGCTCTGAAAGCCCAACAGCAAGAGCCCACCATCACAGTGAAGGGACAAAAGCTGCAAGCAGTGGACCAATTTATATACCTTGGCAGCACCCTTTCCTGCGCAGTGACAATTGACATCAAGGTCAACTGCAGAATCGCCAAGGCAAGCTCTGCATTCGGCAGACTGCAGACCAAAGTGTGGAACTGCCGTGGAATAAGCCTTGCTACAAAGCTTAAAGTCTACCAAGCAGTAGTGCTAACTACCCTGATGAATGCCAGTGAGACCTGGACAGTATACAGGAGACAAGCTAGGCAACTGAACCACTTCCACATGACTTGCCTCCACAGACTTTTGAGGATCCGGTGGCAGGACAAGGTGCCAGACACAGAGGTCCTTTCTAGAGCAGGCCTGCCATCAGTTCACACCCTGCTGATGAAAGCTCAGACATGCTGGGCAGGCCATGTTGCAAGGATTCCAGACCACCGTATCCCCAAACAGCTCTTCTATGGTGAGCTGTCTCAAGGAAAATGATCGCATGGGGGACAAAAGAAGCGATACAAAGACACGCTGAAAGTCTCTCTCAAGTCCCTGGTTATTAACACCACCTCCTGGAAGACCCTGGCACAAGACCGATCGACATGGTGCATGCTGATCCACCAAGGCTGCCAAACTTCTAAAGCCAGAAGGACAACAATAGCACAAGAGAAGCAAGCACTCTGTAAAGCCAGAGTTGCAAATGTTGCAACAGTGGTGCCCACTCATGTCTTCCTGACATGGCAGAACACTCCGTGCCCATGTTGGCCTTATCAGCCACCTGTGGACACATCGTGGACAACTCACAACCCATTAGATGTCAAGGTCCTCATCAAAAAATGATGGACATACATCATCATCATTTTAGATTCTTTTCTTATTGCCTTGACCCAAAGGCTGCATGAAGGTTTTTACTTTTTGTAGAAGTAAAAGATTGGGATATGTTTTGCCAATCACAGAACTAAAATATAAAACCTATCAATTTTGTGGTTATAGCTCTCCCAGTATAAAACTGTATTAAGCAGGCTTGTTATCTCAGATTTTTAATCTGAGATAGAAGATGCACTTGCTTCACCTTTCCACTGCATGTTGCGATATATGAAAAAGTCAACTTATATCTCACACTTCTGGGCAGGCACAAGATTTCATGTATCTTGCCATGGTAGACATACACAAGTTTGTTCTTGTAAAGGTCAATGTAGCATAGTAAGCAGAATTAACTGGGGCACTACCGCTTTCTACTGTACGGCCTGGTTTGTATGATCAAACAACACATGCTTGACAAACTGCCTGGGAACATGAGTGAGGAAGCATGTTGGCTCCTCTTGGCATGTTCACAAGCATGTTGGCCCACTTCCACCAGCTGAAAACAAACCAGGAAGACCCCCAGATTAACATACCAAACTCAGGATTGGTTGGGATTAAATAACCCAGATTTTTAACCCATGGTTTGTTGTTGGTTTAAAATCCTGGGTTTGCACATTTCAACAATTCAGGGAGGGGTACTCCTTGCTTGCTCCAGCACATTCACAGTGAACTATGGGTGGTTTGACTCACATATAGCCATCGCATGTGAACTGGATTGATGTGCCAAAGCAGTCTCTGATCAATTTGTCCCTATCGAGGCTGTGGTGCAGATAGCCCCTTGCCTCCACCTCTTCTTGCTGAACCTCACTAGGGTGTTGACCTGGAAATTGTTTTCAGTCCCAGAACTCAAAACTAGTATACACTAAAGTCCATCACTACATCATTCTGGGAAATCCCCCTGGACACAATGTCATAATCTCTTTTCATTATATTATTCTTCAGGCATTTTCTGAAGTGGGGTTAACTGTAAGCATTTAGGCAGTCAGGAATATATGTTCTGGGCTGTCCTCCACATGTTTGTAGGGAAAATGAGCAAGGACAGTTTAAGTGGTTTTAACTAAATGAATGTTAGTTTAATAAACTTTAACTGCTCCATGCGGTGGGAATTTTACAGCACAAAACTTCTGAGTCAAAAATGATACTTTTAAAACAGATTTTGCCTATTGTACTCCTCACTTCAGGCCTTAGAGCTACACTGAATGGACCAGGACTATCAGCCATTTCACCTACTTCAAACTTGGTTAGCTATAATTCCAGAATAAGGCAAAATTATTTTTGAAGGAAGATAACAGGTTTCCCATAAAAACACATTCTGTGGTATGTTTTGGATTTTGATAAATTCATAATGGCTGCTGCCATAAAAATTGGTTGCCTGCTTTGCAAGGCAAATGGAGCCTATCATAGCAAGCAGCAGCTGGATGTCTACAGAAAAGACAAGTTCTTACAAAGTGGGCAAATCATTCTTCCAGCACCTCATTTTACTCCAAAGGAGCTATGCTCAATGCCCTCCCAATGAAAGATGAAGCAAGCTTGTTAAAATTATTAAATCACAATATGCCATTATACCCAAACCTACTTTTAAACTAGAACTACTAAGACTTTAAGTTAGTTTTTTTTAAAAGTAAGAGTAGCCTTTTACTCTACTCCAGCACCATCAGCAAAGAGGCTTTATGTGAAAGGAGACTGAAAGATTTGAAAGCCATCTCATACTGGATTTTTGTTTAGGGTGGGAGAACAGAAATTAACAGTTCTATCCTAGGCATTCTTTCTAAAAAGAGGTAACCTCCACTAAGTTCAGATGGGCTTACTCCCAAATAAACATGCTGTTGAATCAACAAAATGACTCAGAGAAATAAAATTGATGGACAAGCCACTTCGCTAAACATTACTTCTCAAGCTATTCTTCAGATGTTCAATAGGACAATTTTGGTCAAATTACTGTGTCACCCCAGGCCTATCAAAATCCAAACAAAATGCCAATGTGGCTTGTTGCATATATGATTCCACAGATTAGATAGATGAAATATAACATTTTATTCTGGCCTTCAAACCCACAAGAATATGGAAATCATGAACAATTTCCTTTAAATATTCTAAAAACAAAACAAAAACATGCCCTTTTCTGCATTTACATGAATGAAGTTAGGCAACCCTGTTTTAGTAACAAAGAGCTGACCAAAAGTTACCATGCTTGTCTTTCTTTTCACCAAGGGCATCTACAATTCCATCTTGGCTGAGGCGTACAAAACCATGGGTCACCTTGTTGTAAAACTGAAGTGTATTGCCACTCTGAAATTTCCACTTTTCTGCTGCCCACTATATGTATAGTAAAATATGGACAGACAAGGCATCAAAACACAGGAAACAATGTGTGAAGCTGCTTTACAGTTTTCATACAAAATTAATCTAGCCTTTTGGCAGAGGTTCTCCAAGGTGTCCAGGAATTCCAGCCTTGCTAAGTTTCAGCTGGAGTTGCCAAAGCCTAGACCTAGCTGTGTCCTGCCAATGTGCTATTGTGCCTTCCAAAACACTATATAGAGGAAGAAATGTGCCAATTAAGTTAGCCCAATTTGCCTTGGGCTGACTCAAAAGCTGGCTGACTGAATTTGCATCTTGATTCAGAAAGCCAAACTATTATACCACCCATTGTCTATGAATGAAAATCAACAAATAACTATTTTTGGCACTATTTGAGAGAATTTTATTAAGTATGTAAGCAATCCAGCCACTTGTGAAGAGATGAAATAGACCAGATTTCAGAGAAATAGTTGTTGGAAAGTTAGCATCAGATGCTTTTATATTCTGGTTTGAATGAAGAGCTGCTGGCCCAATTTGTACTACACACTGGGCTTACCGTGGGTTATTCACCTACAGTGACCCACAGTGCATGCCAGGTGCCATTTTGAATATGAGAAAAATCACATAACTGTCAATTTGTTGTAGAGCTCTATGGGGTTCTATAATCTTCACATAACCAACAGTGGCTGGGTTTGGACAACACAACATACTCCCATCAGTGGTTTCATATTCAGAACGGTGCTCAGCATTTCTGCTGCTCATTATGAGTTGCCATGAGTTTGGCAAGGCATACAAACTACGTCATTAACTATTTTATTTCTTGACAAAATTGGATGAAAATTGCAGGCATGCTTGGCTTTTCTGATCACAGTTTTTATAAATTTATTTACTTTCTTAATGTGCAACCTTATGCATGGTTTAAACAGAAAAAAATGCCTACAAGTCCTAACATATCCCAGTCAGTCATATTCTGTCTAAACATGCATAAGATTGCATCCTTAAACACCTTGCTCAAAAAATACTCAAGGCAATTTACAAGAAAGTCTAATTCAGCCAAAACAATTGCCCACTAAAATATAATCACCTCATAAAACAACTAAAATATTGATGACAGCCATTAACAATTCACAGGTACATTAAGGAGTATTTACTGTTTCAGGGTTACATTTTGTGTTGTTTTGTTTTTAAAGGGAGTGCATATTTCCTTTGTGCACAACTTCTATAAATAGCATACAACAAAGACATGACTTTAGCTAAAAGACCTGCAAAATATTGGAAAGATAGGAATAGTAATTCCAATATTTTAAAGTGGAGTCTTTAAATTGGGTTGGGATTCATTCATTTCCCCTTTTGCACCTTCATAGGAGTTTGAGGCAGGTGCTTTTTGCTTTGACAATTTGTATGACTATGGCATACAGCATACATGCATCTCTCTTCAGGAAACCTACAAAATTCCAGCAGGTTATCTACAGGGAATGTTTATGGATGAAAAATCTTACATATACATATGCATATATGGGGAGAAACAAAGAAGGCATAATTCAAGAAAGAATGATCAAGCTATAGCTTTTACAACTGTAAAGCACTACCATTTCCATTCTTTTGGTTTCCAGTTCTTGTCCTGAAAAAATACAAACACAACAGATATCAATGCATCTAGAAAAATTAAAGCATCTTGTTTGAAACAATGGAACTTAGGCAGCTAACTATGCACTTAAATACCATGTGATTTCAATAAAATTTAAAGTGCCAGCCTATTCTGCAGTTCTGGAGGAAATTTTGGATGTGGTGAAGTCACACTACCTAGGGCTCAAGATTTCAGAAACCCCCAGTACTTGCTGCTCTACTATTGGTGAAGAGGCTGCTGGACATAGGCTCCAAATAGTGGTGTCCTGGGGTGAGGTAGGGAGAAAACAGCCTTGGATTTTCTGGATCCAAAAATCCATCATTCCTCTAAGAGAATCCAGATTAGGTCAAGCCAAGAAGCTGCATAGTTAATTCCACACCATTGGTTTCATTGAGATGAATGCTAAGCAGCTAATTTCTGCCTGATCTGTTTTTGGAACCCCATCAATACTGTGCTGAATTATCCACTAGTTAACCACCACCCTGCCTAGAATGCCCATTGTTCTTCCTATTGCAATCATAGGCAGGAAAACCAAACTAAAGTAAGGGCCAAACATTCAGTAAAGTGTGTAAAGTAGATGCTAACATTTCCTACTCTCCTGTAAATTTGTTCCCCAGTAGATTCCTCTAAGCTTTTCTTTGATAGACAAAGCATGCAAATAACTTTATGGCAGTCTGCGAACTCATCCACCATGTACTGCCACAGCTTTTCATAAAGTGTCCTTGACTGCCACCAGTTTATACTCACTACCTGCAAAGGTGTGGTTATCAGTAACATAAAGTTCTCTGACCATCTTGCCATCATCTTCTCCTTGATCAAGCCACCTTTGAGGGGGAAAGTATTATGAATGAGAAAACATTTTGGAATGCTACTGTCTACAAAATCAAAATATATTCTTCTTCTGTGATAAAAGAGTCTAGATTTCAACCATGAAAACCAAGATTGCATGACTGAATTTAAGATCTTCTTGAGAGAAAAGCAAATACAATTTAAAAAGAACAATTACGTTATACGCTTCTGTTTTTAAACTTTAATTATATGGCAACTTCCTGGTTTCCATGAAGTTTGGTTAGTAAAACCAATATGGGCAGTGGCTACTACTTCGAACGAATGAAAGCATACACAGATGCACAAGCAAACCATTTTCTGAGTTAAAAAGCTGCCTGTCGTATAAATAACATGGTATTTGTTTATTTGATGCATAGCTCATCTTCTCACTAAGGAAATAGTCTTCAAGTCTGCTAAAAAGGCAGGCAGGCAGGCAGGCAGGCAGGCAGGCAGGCAGGCAGGCAGGCAGGCAGGCAGGCAGGCAGGCAGAAAGAAAGAAAGAAAGAAAGAAAGAAAGAAAGAAAGAAAGAAAGAAGTCTGCATCCATTTATGTCTTGAGGGTGGGAGAGGATTGTCTGTATAACCACATCTGAGGAACAGATACATTGATAAAGGAAGATGAATATTTCCACTTAAAGCAAATTAATGGATATGAACAGGCCTTCATTCCTTTAAAATTGCAATACTATGCATCCTTACTGGGAATACCATTCCAAGGAATTATTTACAAATAAACATGCAGAGAACTGAACAGGATGACCTGAGATAAAATCATATAAATTCATCCCAGGTCAAGTCTGACTTAATTATTAAAAAGCCCTAGAAAGGAAGGGGATGGCAGGCCCTTGAAGAAATTCTGCTGCAAAGTGAGCTGTGTTCTGTCAAATTTGGTCATTATGGTAGAATATCGAGTGATTCTATGTAATCTGCACCTTTAATGATTCAGCACATGTATATTACAATATTCCATTTTAATGCAGTTCTGTGATTCCTCTTGTCTTCCTGTTTGGTGGAATAGTTCTTTTTTTGCAGAGGGGGAGGGGGTAACGTTTAAGTGCCTCCTTAAATATAATTGGTGGAATGCTCTTTGAGAATCTGCTCCCTAGTCACAGGGGGGATAAAATGGTTTATTTTAAAACCAATACACTTATAAAGAATATTTTATACTGACATTTTAGGAGAACTTACTCAGTGACCTGGTTCACATGATCAAAATGAGGTACTATGGCTTTAAGTAAGCTTATTTAAATAATGACTTGAATTGTTTGGTTGCCATATTATCTGAGCATAGGAGGCTGTTTGGATGGGGAAACAATCCTCCAATCAAGTATCAGCTGTTGCTGGATTATTGGAGTATTTTTCTCCCTCCCACAAGCCATGCCACCTGGGTTTGGAAGATGTGTCAAGCCATGTGAGTATGGAAATCATGCACCTTACACAGCTGGTAATGCTACAATTTAAATAAACCATAGAGGCTTATTTTGATCATGCAAACTAGTGGAGTAGCAAGAATATATAATGAAGCATGGAACAGTGACAAATACTTGCTTTGCAATACAGGATGAAAAATGCATGCTTATTATCAGCATACGCACACACATACATACACACACACACTGATTTGTTACTATAAATACAAGAAAATTATATCTGGCCCTGAATCTGATACCCCAAGGCAGCAAGAAAGGTGTTTGTGTATGTTTGTCTAAGATCTTGATAGTTTTCTTTTTCAGAAGCCTTAAGACATGTCAAGACTTCTGGATAAATATTTGCTAAGCACTGCAAGAAGTAGTCAAGTCTTGCTTTTGCTTTTTATCCTGCTGAAGTAGAAGGAAGATAGAAAGAATAGTAGTTGTGTTTTCCCCTGTTCCCAGGATGATGCTCTTTGCATCTCACAAGCAACATTGGAACTGTCCGTTTCTCTTTTCTGCAATGAGGAAGAAAGAAGCTTCACCCACCTGGGATGGCACACTGTGACACATCTAATGTTTGGTAGCACACCAGGGTGCTGCTACACATTATATGATATGTTTCATAGGCAGTGTTGCCATACATAGCAATTGATTGCTTTATATGCAAATTTTGATTTACATTCTGAAACAATAGGAAAGAAGTAGCACATATTCTGTTATAATGAAAGTTCCAGGAACTATGAAAAGAAGGAATTATATGGAACCTGCTGAAGTAATGTTGTAAGGAGAACCTGTAAATGTTGCAGGGGGGTTAAGGGTTAGGGTTAGGGTTTCTCACAGAACCTATGGAATAAGCCCCAGAATCTGCTTGAAATGATAAAGATAAAGAAATGGTAAGGCAATACTGAATCAGTGTGCCTCTGGGCTACCCCCCGCTTAGCATTTTAATCACTGAAAAGTAATTTCTGCCCACACTCACACATAGGAGTTTCTGGTGAATGGCACAAATTCTGATAATTATTGTTCAGCTGTTGGAAGATCATGGGTAGTGGACATACAATCATCTAGATGGACAGAACCAGTTGAGAAGCCTAAAAGGTGTGAGCTGCTTGCTACAGTCCTTCAGATTCTAAACACCACAAACCTGTGACATATGAAGCTATAATCCAAGTCAGTGACAGGATCCTTGACTATAATCTTCTCCAGAAACCACCCATTTCCTAGGAGAAATGATAAAAAAAGAATGCCTTTTAATAGTGAACCTTTGTCATCTTTGATCAAACTATAACTAAAGACCAGAACAAGCACAGATGACTTTAACTGCAACCTCACATGACAGCAAACACAGGAGCCATCACAGAGCCAACACACCTTGCCTGATGCACCTCAAATGCATTACTTTTCAGTGACAGCTATTCACCTGTTCACCTGCTAATGCTGAATAATCAAAAGAAGAGCCTGAGTATGACCCATTCCTTTGTTCCACAGATTAAGAGAACACTATTGTCTATAATGTTCTTAAGAAAATAATCATAGATTAATTTCATGCAGAGAAATAATTTGATATCACAGCCCATGTTGTAAAGCTAATGTTTTAACTGGAATGATAAAGTGCTATGGCAGTGTGTCATTTCATGGCATATTGCAGATGCACAGAAAAGTAATGGTCCAATCATTAACCAGTCAGAGATGAGTTACACAACACAGATTGCACCAGTTAGGAAGAACTGTATATTACTGACAAGCACAAAGCATAACTGAGAAGATTGATTCCTTTATGCTGCAGTTCCCGGAACGAGGCTGAAAATCGATTTACACTTTCAAACACAAGATTTTCCCTACAGTGAACTGAAAAGTTGTGTTCAACATGTATACACAGGCATGTGTGAAAACTGAGTATCTATGCTGGCACAAAAACCATAAATGACTGTGGGCCTGTTTTGTATATCACAGAGCCTGTTTGCCAGAGGAGCTGTCATTTCCCCAAGATATATGTAGTTCTACAAGTCAGCAGTCCAATGAAGGGGCCATTCATCACCATTTCCATGCCACAGAAGTTTATAGATTGAATCCACCAAGTACATTCAGATTTCTGACCTGCGCCAAGTCCACTGTGCCCTACAACAATCTTATGTAAATTTCCAAGGTGCACAGCTTCAAGTGTGAAGATATCAGTCTGGAATCAAACAATTAAAATGTGATTAGAGTTAGGATGCATCCCTGATATACCTTTGAATCCATAAGATCTAGATTTAAACACTAGATTAAATCCCTTGCTCTAAAGCAGGAGAGAAGTGTTTGGCCTACATCTCTCTTCAGCACTGGATAAGCTGAAAAGGGCTGAAGAATGATGGACATTAGAGGCCAAAACATCCGGAAGGCCAGAACTTGCCTGTCCTTGCTAAAAGAGATGTAACCATATAAACAATACAGTCTGAAGGCTCCAATGTAAATGGGGAACCATCCAGGTTGTAGTGTAAACTTTTAAAGAGCTATCCATGGTGTTGAGCCAAATTGGTGGATGAGGTCATCACCATGGGTAACTCCTTTAGAGTTTAGATTAAAACTCAAAGTGAAAGAACATCATGACACTGTCAAAAGGGCCACCTAGCCCTGAATGTGCAACTAGCATCTTCAACCGAGAAAATGCCAGTTTCCCATGCCTTGCACAATTGCACAGAATTAAAGAAAAAGACCATGTATCCCCAACTACCTTCAAGGCTATCCATCTCCCATTTCCCTACCAGAGAGAAACTTATGAAACCCACAAGTTTCCAAAACAAGAGATACATTGGAAATGCCTCCAAATTAGTTAAGTGTCTGAGCCAAGGTTGGTAGGGTCTTGACTTTGACATAATTCTTCTTTAACTTATATTTGAGAATGATACAGCTGGTACCAAGTCTTCACTGATCAAATTTATTTGTGATACAAGTAGTAGTTATACCATTGGTGAAAATGAATAATTACTGATGCACTATTTTTAAATGTCCTAGCATATTGTCAGAAATGCCTTAATGCTCTGAATGAGCATACAAGTTATTTTTAAAAACTCTATCCCTTTTGATCACATTAATAAACTTGTAAAAATATTGGCAACAAAAATTTTGTAAGGTTGGGGAAGTATTTGAAAACATGTAAAGTTACTGGTTTAATTCATCCCAAAGCAAAAGATTTTTTTTTTCATCTTTTCAATCTTTCTACCTTAAAATGGAGCTTAAGGCAAAAACAGCATTGGAAATATGCTTTGTGACACATATGGAAAAAGATAAGTGGTCCCTGAAGAAGGAAAGTCCTTTCTGAAGTAGATTAAGCATAATAAATATTTCTTCAGGCATATGAGCATACTTTCTCTTCTGTCTGGGGACACCGGTCTTCCACTCTTGTCGATTTAACTCACTCACCTGTCCTTTTGCATATTTCCTAGGTTTCTTTGACCTAAGGAGCTGCCGGGATCCTGTGTCACCTTTATCGCCATATATAACAATGTAGACATCAGCTTCTGTTCCAGCATCCCATAGATCACCAGTTACCACATGTATTTCATACACTGTCACTGAGAATAATTGAAGACAGGCTTTTACAAACATACTATTATTTATGTAACAGCATTTTCTACACTGAATCTAAGTACAGCACTCAAATGCATACTAGCAACACCTGTGAGTAGGTGGTTCTTATGTCTGGAAACTGGATACATAGGCAGTTTTAGATAGGATCGTACTTTTCTTGTAAGAGCAAGCACATAGCTAGAGAGTGATTTGCAGTGAAGGCGTAGCTCCTTCAATGACTATGAATTTTCTAGCTATGATTATTTCTGGTTAAAGTAATTCACAGTCAAGCTTCCTGTAGGATTACTCTAATGTATTGTATATGTGGATTAGCTACTTCAGAATTAATCTCTAATTATGATATAAATTATCCTTGATTTCCTACTAAACATTTCCTATACCCAAACTGATGCTTATAAAATTCCTAGTGAAAACCATTCTGTCTTAAAATAGTGTCGTTATTTTATATTTCTTACCTGGATGAAGGGGCTGTCCCTGGTATGAAACAGGAAGTTCCTGACAGATATCACCATCATCCTGGTTTCGTGCCAGCCATCTATCAACAGGGAAACTGAACTGTTCCCCTGTTACAAGATTGTGTAATTGCACCTGAAATGCAAGCAACCAAGTCTAGATTACCATGGCATCTTTACAAGAATGAACCAGATTCTGATGCTGATACAGTTTGTTCTGATTAAATAGATTTCTAAAGTCTAAGTTCAAATACTAAATGTGAGGGTCACTGTTCATGCTGCATTCTAAAGTAGTGGAATGGTTCTTTTGTGTCAGTAAGATGTGTGAATCTTTGGAAGCTTGATGCCTGTAAATCTTGAGCCTGTAACTTACTATCCCATTGGGATATCAAACATAAAATCCTTACATCAAACATAAAATCCTGTTTATTAGAGTTCATTTTATTCGGTGATATACATGATATGATTTGGTGAAGCTGCACATTTGTGCTTTACTAAATGTTGAGGCAGAATTTTATAAGATTTTAAAAGACTAGCACATCTTACCTCTTTGCAGTGCCAGGCAGGGGTTTCCCCAGAGTTATTGTGCCCTATCCGTATTTTGTAGGTATCACCTATGTCTTCTGTGCAGATCTGTCAAATGGATTTAAAGGTGCCTTTACTGATAAGAACTGTATTCGCAGGATAAATTATAACTGTCCATTATAGCTAATCTGTGAAATCTATTTCACAAAATCAATGTGACAGTTACAATGAATATAATTTGATAATGTTGACCATATAAATCAACCTGATTGTTGTGGCAGCCTTAGAAAGTGTTTAGTATTGTATAATTTAATTATTAATTGCTATGATTGATTTATATAATTCAATTTATCTGTATTATAAGCTTTTCCTTTTTTCCTTTTTGTTGATTTATCTTTTTATTGTAGAAGTTAGTTAATAATTTTTGTTTGCAGCGGGGTGGGGCAGGCCACAGTCTCATGGGGAAAATGGACACCATTGATTGTGTTTCCCAATCCAAACAGGTAGAGAGAGAATAAATGAAATGTGTTCCACAAGTATCATTAAACAAATGACAGGTGTGCTTCACAAAGATGTTGTGCCCCAGATATGTTTTTCATCATATGATACTGCAGTAAAACATTTTTTTCCATATTTATTACTTACTATAAAGGTATCTGTGCTTCCTCTTTCAAACACCTTCTTCTCCTCTCCATATAGAAAGATAGCTCCAGAATTACATCGATTCCCATATAATGTAATATAAACTTGAGAGCTGGTACCTGCAGATGGCTGGTCACTCGTCAAAACTGTTACCTTCCATTTGCTTGCTAAAAAAATATAAAGAGAGAACTAAACTTATGGACAGCATGGAGTCCCTAAGACATACCTTCAGACATATGGAACACATCTCCTTTATAAGGTCCTCAAAGGCTGTCATAAAGAGGAAGGTCAAGATCTCTTTTCACTGATACCAGAGTATAGGACATGGAATAATCAATTCAAGTTTCAACAACCCAGATTCAGGAGAGATATCAAGAAAAGTTTCCTCACTGTCAGAGCTATACAGCAGTGGAACCAGCTGCCTAGAGAGGTGGTGGGCTCTCCCACACTAGAGACATTCAAAAAGAAACTGGACAGCCATCTGAGTGAGATAGTGTAAATTGGTGGCCTGTGACAGCAGGAAGTTGGGCCCAATTGCTTTCATGGCCCCTTCCTAACTCTACTATTCCATGATTCCATGATACTTTTCCTGAAATTAATTCCAGCTAGCTGAGGTTCTGTCCAAATTGCCCTTTTCCACAATGTGACTTCCATTAGGGTTCTGTAACACAATGGCTGGGTTCACATAACACAGTAAACAACCCTGCATTGTTTCCATTGTGTGCAAATTTTTGCCCAAACTTACCTTTCAAACAATCCTATGTTTACACATTCCCAGTCCCCTGCTTTATTCTCCTAGCCTCACCACAAATCCCCACAGCTGCCTCTAGCAAAATCCATTTCCTTTCCTATTGCTTTTGCACAGCAGCAACATCCTCCTGAACGTTTCCCTACTTCTTCCTCCTGAGTGTTCCTCCATGCATGCAGGACTTCCCAGCCACTCCAGACCCTGCAGAAATTGTTATTAAACGTTAATAAACAACTTAGTCTACCCTTCCCCAACCATGTATTTTTGCACCGTGTCTGCTACCAAAAATAAACAGAAGAGTGGACATGTTGTTCAGTCAATGGAAATAAAGTAAGTAATGGTCTGTTCTAGGGTTTTCAAAGAACTCAAACATCAAATCACTGACCTTCTTACCAAAATATTTAACATGTTCCTTTGCCCTTGTACCAGAGAATTCAGAAACGGCCAATGTCACACCAATTCTTTAAAAAGAATCCAGGGAAGATTCTGAAAATTACAAGCCGGTGGTCCCATACCAACAATGGTAAAATGATGATCTCAGGTCTGGATGATTGGAGAAGCCACACTGAAGCATGGAAACCTTAGAACAGATCTTTGATTCTATCTGTTATTTCTGATAACTAATCCTAACATGCAAGAACTCCACAACTGGGTCTGGATACACAACAGACCCACAGCAGTAAGACTTCACCATGGCTTCCCATGTCATGCAAGTCTGCTCATATTGTCACTTATGTGGACAAATGTACAAAGGATGGCCCATTTTTCCAGGCCTTGCTCATCTTTGATCCATATATATTTAATTTCTTCCACCTTTCTTTTTATTCCACCTTCAAACAGTATCAGGTACTTTAAATAACATTTAAACATATCAATTTATAAATGTTTGCACAATGTAAATTTTTAATAGAAACATACAAATCTGAACCATTCTAATCCCTATAAGTGGCCAAGGAAACAAGAAATATGAAATAGGAATGCAGGGTTTAGGTCAGGTAAAGCATTTTTCAGCCACCACAAAAAGTCCCCCAAACAAACCTTACAAAACTACTATGGTGAAAGGTGTTTTTCAAGTTGTGCCCCCATTCAGATATTCACTGGTTTGACACTCATTATTTGGAGGAGAAGCAAGTTTACCCCACTTCCATCCACCATTCAGATATGTACGGTGAACCAGGCAACTCCACACAAACATTTGCTTGTGCCCCTCCTTCTTTAGTGGAAATAATCCAAATCAGGATGCTGTACCATTCTGTGAAATACCTCCTTACATCATATGTTTGATGCATAATGGAGGAGAGTGAGAAACTGCACTTTGAACTGAAGCCTGGCTGGCAGTGGCATTTCTTAAGGAATTCCATAAGATTGGGCTAGAACAAGTTGAATATCACTTTTTCCTAATACTCTATACTCAACTTCATTTAAAACGTAGATGTATTTCATGTCTATACTTAATCCAATTTAGATCTTTTGATACCGAACTGACATAATGTAGATTCTATCTATAAACTTGTTAAGAATTAAATCTGACACCTATGTAAGTTAAATGTAGCAGCTAGCGTGGGAAAACCAGTATAACAGTGAAAATTAAGTGATATAAATAAAGATGTTTCTTGGACTTCTCTGGTTGCATCAGTTACAAAAAACACTTTATCAAGTAAAACAAATTTCATATAAATTTTGCACACAGTTCTAGCATCTGAAAAGTAATGGAATTTTAAGGGGTTAACCAAATTTTAGAGTCTTTTAGGCAGTCTTCTTGTAGATCTCTCCTAAAACTTTCATTCAGGCAACTGAACCACTGCAGAAATAGGTTAGCCACCTACAGTTCACAATACCCTATTCAGCTTTTTCTTAGTAAACTTAAACCTTTTCAGTTCAGGATTAACCCAGTGGACATGGACCTTAGGATTCTCCCTCATTTAGTATCACATGGGATTATTTGGTCTCAGCAAATGCCCTATGATTTATTATAAAGTACATACCTTGTTTTTCTGTGTTATATATGCACAATATATAAAAATGGCTATAACAGTATAGCAACTGAACAATTAAAAACAAATAAAATAAAAGGTAACAGAACAATGAACTATAGCCTTAGAAAGGCTCAGCTTAAGGTTTAAATAAGTAAAAATGTTTGCTGAAAGAAAATGTTCTTAAGCTATCCAAAATATAATGATTTAACAATAACTAGGTTTTCAAGTAGCTTGTTAATCTTTCTGTATTTTTGGTTTTGTTATGTTTTTAATATGTCTTACTCTAGTTGTTGCATTTTCTATTTTTTAATATTTTTAACTAGTTGTTGTTGTTAGTCGTGAAGTCATGTCCAACCCATCGTGACCCCATGGACAACATTTCTCCAGGCCTTCCTGTCCTCCACCATCCCCCGAGTCCACTTAAGCTCACACCAACTGCTTCAGGGACTCCACCTAGCCACCTCATCCTCTGCTGTCCCCTTCTTCTTTTGCCATCTATTGTTCCCAGCATTAGGCTCTTCTCCAGGGAGTCCTTCCTTCTCATTAGGTGGCCAAAGTATTTGAGTTTCATCTTCAGTATCTGGCCTTCTAAAGAGCAGTCAGCATTGATCTCCTCTAGGACTGATAGGTTTGATTGCCCTGCAGTCCAAGGGACTCGCAGAAGTCTCTTCCAACACCACAATTCAAAAGCCTCAATCCTTTGAGTGGTATCATCTGCATATCTGAGGTTGTTGATATTTCTTCCTGCAATCTTAATTCCAGTTGGTGATTCATCCAGCCCCGCCTTTCTCATGATGTGCTCTGTATATAGGTTAAATAGGCAGGATGACAGTATACAGCCTTGCCGAACTCCTTTCTCAATTTTGAACCAATCAGTGGTTCCGTGTCCAGTTCCACATAAAGGTTTCTCAAGCGTCAAATAAGATGGTCTGGTACTCCCATCTCTTTAAGAACTTGCCACAATTTGTTGTGATCCACACAATCAAAGGCTTTAGCATAGTCAATGAAGCAGATGTAGATGTTTTTCTGGAACTCCCTAGCTTTCTCCATAATCCAATGTATGTTGGCAATTTGATCTCTAGTTCTTCTCCCTCTTCGAAATCCTGCCAGTACTTCTGGTAGTTCTCGGTCCACATACTGCTGGAGCCTAGCTTTTAGCATTTTGAGCATCACTTTGCTAGCATGTGAAATGAGTGCAATGGTGCAGTAGTTTGAACATTCTTTGACATTGCCCTTTTTTTGGATCAGAATGTAAACTGACCTTTTCTAATTCTGTGGCCACTGTTGAGTTTTCCAAATTTGCTGGCATATTGAGTGTAGCACTTTTACTGCATCGTCTTTTAAGATTTTGAATAGCTCAACTGGAATACTGTCACCTCCACTAGCTTTGTTGTTGCTCAGACTTCCTAAGTCCCATTTGACTTCACATTCCAGGATGTCTGGCTTGAGGTCAGTGACCACCCCATCATGGTTATCAGGG